AAATAAATAAAAAAAAAGGCAAAATAGGGGGGTTAATAACCCAAATTTTGACATTGAAAAGGGTAGTCAGGAGGGGCCCCAACCAATTCAGAACGCTTGGTGAGACCCACGATTTATGAACATCATATAAAAAAAGGATCCAAAATAAAATGCTTCGGGTGGATTTTTAGGGGGTGTTTTTTTGGGAGTTTTTTTTTTTTTTTCGGTGGGGGGGGGGGGGGGTGGCCTGCACGGAAAAAAATATCAAGATCCAAACGATCGTCTTACGGTTCCTCGAGGTATATTTTTTTCTGAAGGGACAAGAGAGGCTGATTCATGTTCTTGTGAGTCAGAACATGCTTCAGTACACGGTTTTGGCTCGTGTGCGACCAACAAGACACCGAGCGCCCTATTTATGGGTCGCCTGCAGAGGGCGTGTGTATCATCGCACGCCAGTGGCTGCAGTTTGTGGATGTCGTCGGCCAAAGGCCTCTCTCTGACGGCATGCGCTGTACACTGATCACACTCGACTCGAAGCATGCGGCAGAAAAAGAAAGCAACGTCCAAAAAAGGCAACACCGAACCACACCTCGATTCACGTTCGCAGGCCTTGTGCAATCAAAACTGGACAATACGCTCTGTTTCTGGGACGCGAGCAGAGGGTATGTGTATGACCACACGCCACTGGCTGCTGTTTGTGGATGTCGTCGGCCAAAGGCCTCTCTGGCATGCGTTTTTGACTGGTCGCTGGTCGCGGGTGACACACGGAGCAAACACGCGGCGGAACAAGAAACAAGACCAGAAAGTCAACACCGCAACACACTTTGGTTCACGTTTGCAGGCTGTGTGCGATCAAAACTGGACAACACGCTCTGTTTCTGGTATGCTAGCAGAGGGTATGAGTATGAACACACGCCATTGGCTGCAGTTTGTGGATGTCGACGGCTTGAGGCCTCTCTCTGGCCTGCGTTTGAACTGGTCACACATGCAGCAGGCGCAAAAACGGCTCTTTTCGGCCGAAAGGCAAGAACGTCAGCAGAGCAATGTGGCAGGGTTGACGTTTTCGGCTCCTGTGCGGCCAGCACGACGCAGAACGCCCTGAATTTCAGATACCTGCAGAGGGTTTGTGCATGACCTCATGATACTGGCCTCTGTTTGGCCAGCAGACGGTGTAGTTCCTCGTTCTGGCACGATCGGGGTGTGACCAGGGGGTACCCCCCCCCATTTCTAACAGCGATATTCCAACAGGATCGCTGTTGGAAAATGGGCCAATTTTTCAACAGGACGGCCGGAATCGCTGTTGGAATTTGCGCTGTGGGAAAATGGGCTGTTGGAAATTGCCATTTTCCTACCTGTAAGACGCCCAAATTACCAAATGCGCACCCCTTGCCTTCAGGTTCACGCAACTTGCATGTACCTGCTCAAGCCCACATTCATGTGCATATGGAGACTCGACTCAACGAGATAAAGCTCCGACCAAACCTACTTGGCCCCTTGTCATCGCTATACTTGGGTGCTCCTCCCCCCAGCGACACGGAAAACAACATCTGCGTTGCGAACATCGCGTCCAAGGTACGCAAGCAAGCACGTGTCGAATTGCAGGCGTATGACGTGTGCCTCGATAACACACCGTGACAAAAAAAAAGTTACACCGCTTCACGATATAGACAGCCTTTAGACTACTGCCGAACGCTACAAGCACCATGCTCCATCCCACTCCCACCAAACACCACACCAAGCGCTACGCCTGAGAACGTTGCCGGCAATTTCGCGACCCATGCGGATGCTGAGCGCTGATCTGTCCATCTCGTCGAGAAATGCACCGAGCTCGGCAACGTCGACGTGCACGTCTGCGGCCGGGGTCTCCTCCACGATGAGGTTGTCGTCCCCGCAGACTTATAGGGACAGGAAGCGCATGATCTTGGGGTTACCGTAGTCCGAGTTGGCGAGGGTCAGGAGTCCGGAGGATATGCGACGCGGGCCCGTCATGAACCGAGCATGGAGTACCAGAAACTGTTCCAAACCACATGGGGAAAGGGAAGGCATGGATGCGCAACGACATGAACTAAAAAGTTCATGTTTGATTCCAGAGTGGACGGAAACTCGGTTAGGTGGGGTGACAAGCAAAATGCGTGACGATAAATAACACGAGAATAATGCTGTTTTATTCCGTGACGGTGAACAATTGTGTTGGTAACAGCGCAAGAGTAGGAGGTGGTGGGGGGGGTGTACTCACAGTCGTGCATGCCGTAGTCGTTAGACCATTGACCTCGCATCTCTACAAAGCCGGGACGGAGCACGCCGGGTTCTCACCGGACCAGGCTCTCATATCACCAAGCGCGAAGCGCCGTGAGGTGTTCGGCCGGTCGCATGAAGGGTGCGCTGTACCCTGGTAAGGGTGTTCGGCATCTTGTGCTTACTTCCTTGTGTACGGATGACAGCTGCGTATGACTCAATTTATTCTCTGGTGCTTTCACTTCTAGAGACAGTTATAAGCACTGTGTAGCTGCCTAGAGGGTGCTTGACCATTTTAACACAGCGTGGTGCGATCACCCCCCTTGCGCGGAGTGAGGGTTCTCGACCCCGCACAACACAATCTACTCGACCACCAATATGGTTACCGCAAAAAAACAAACAGAGGTATATAAAAAAAACCGGTAACCTGGTTGCCGAGCTCACGATCGGCTTGTTTTACAACATCGCTGCCAAGCGACAAAAACCCAACCCCGATGGCAAGCACCGGGGGCGGCGGCTTGTTCTACAACGTCGTTGCCAAGCGACGAAAACCCAACCCCGATTGCAAACACCGGGGCGGGAGTAGGAGGTGGTGGGGGGGGTGTACTCATAGTCGTGCATGCCGTAGTCGTTAGACCATTGACCTCGCATCCCTACAAAGCCGGGACGGAGCACGCCGGGTTCTCACCGGACCAGGCTCTCATATCACCAAGCGCGAAGCGCCGTGAGGTATTCGGCGAGTCGCATGAAGGGTGCGCTGCATCCTGCTAAGGGTGTTCGGCATCTTGTGCTTACTTCCTTGCGTACGGATGACAGCTGCGTATGACTCAATTTATTTTCTGGTGCTTTCACTTCCAGAGACAGTTATAAGCACTGTGTAACTGCCTCGAGGATGCTTGACCATTTTAACACGACGTGGTGTGATCACCCCCTTTGCGCGGAGTGAGGGTTCTCCACCCTGCACAACATGATCTACTCGACCACCAATATGGTTACCGCAAAAAAACAAACAGAGGTATAAAAAAACCCGGTAACCTGGTTGCCGAGTTCACGAAGTGAATTGCCTTGTTTTACAACGTCGTTGCCAAGCGACAAAAACCCAATCCCGATGGCAAACACCGAGGGGGCTTGTTTAACAACGTCGTTGCCAACCGACGAAAACCCAACCCCGATGGCAAACACCGGGGACGAAGGGGGAGGTGGGGGGGGGGGGGCGTACTCTTCTGTTTTGCATGCCTTAGCGGTTAGACCGTTGACCACGCGTCCTCGAGAGGCCGGAGCATTGTTCCCACAGGACCGATCACCGATGGCCAATCGTTCCTTCTTACTTTGCCAAAGGTGGCTCAAAAATGTCTTCCCTAGTCTGTCTATCCTACCGATATCACTTCCCGCCTTTTCAAACCACTTCCTGTACCCCAGTACAGCTACCGTCCTCTCCTCTCTATTCCATGCCTCAAACATCTCCCTGTACGTCCCTTGTATTTTTCCCAGCTCAGCACCCCCTCAATGTTACACCCCCAAACACACCCTGTGGGTATTCGGACGTGCTATCACACCCCGTTTTTATCAAACCCTCATTGATCACACCCCCAAAACACACCCTGTGCGTGTTCGGACGTGCAATTACACCCCCTGGTTGATCACACCCCCTTAGGGGGCCGTGCGAGCTGCACTTTATCACCCGGGCTACATAAGATACCACCCCCCCACAGGATACCACACCCGGTGATAATATTTTTAAAGCCCGAAATGTTATCACCAGAGTGTGTTGTCTTGTGTCGTCTACGGTATGCGTAGACTACATATTGTACAGCATCGACTAAGATACCACGGTTGTGGTATCTTACGCGACCTACAGAGACTATCATTTTTCTTCGTACAAGCTTTGCGCTAAGGAACGCGTCAATAAAAGCACGCGTCCGCGACGCGTTGTTAGAGACGCCTATGTGCGCAAGCGTGCAAGCATGCGAGTGTGACGTAAGCTACACGCACCAACAGACTGCAGTTCTCTCGTTGCCGTTGGACAATTAAGGAATAATAAAAACACACACAGAAATACTACTTGTACTTCTAGGCTGCTGCTGTTTTCCGTGCGTGCGGGTGTTAGTGCACTCGTGAATGTCCATACAAGGCAGCCTTCACCTGAGAATGCGATGCCGGGGAAAGGTTTTGCCCGATTACCTCCGAGTGTATGCCTTGACCTGCCGTCCTGTTGAGGCCCACTTTACCCTCTAGCGGCCGGCTGGGTCAAAGCAGTAGTCAATTGCTGGTTGGGGTGGACCTCCACATGCTTTCCCGCCAATCCGAACTGCATCAATATATCGACTCCCGTCGGCGTAGCGGGAAGGCAAAAGCTGTGGCATCCAGTGCTTTATGTCGACATTACATGGCACTTACGGTGCGTGGTGCGTGGTGGGTGGCGCGTGTGGTGTCCCTCGTGCCCACCCATCTCGGTTCTCTACTTTGCATCTACCAACATCTACCAAATCTACGGCCCAGGGGGGGCGCGGCTAAGATATGCAGCGTACAGTCCCGCGGGCATAATTTATCATCTCCATGCATGTCACGTGCCGCACCGCGTGCGGTTACTCTGCCATGAACAAATGCTAGCACGCGCCTCGGTGGAGCTGCCCGCAGTGTGATGAATGTCGCGGAAGAGGACGTGAAATCTCGCCACCAAGGCTGCAAATGTCAACATCACAAAGCGCCAATGTTTTCAGTCTACGGCAGACCATTTGTGTGCGCATGTGAACGATCTTCTTGGCGGTTGCATTTCACGGCCCACAGATCTGCTTATACAATCCTGGCAGCGTCGACACCCTGACAGCGTTCCGGCCCGGGGACCTTCTGGGGACCGATTACCTTCCCAGGTTGTCACTGCGTCCATGCAGGGTCTATTTGCCCGCAGGGTCCACACAAGCACACAAGGGTAGCCGAATTGCTACTGGTGCAGCCTGGTTTCCACGGAGGCCTCAACAACACTACAATGTTGCAACCGGTGGTCTCCTTCATTCGGGTGTGATCGTGCGCAGTAGTGCGTGTGCTGGACAGATCATCAGCGAGCATGCTGATTAACGAGATTGTTGACAGCAGCATCGAGTTCCTAGCGACAAAACGTGCATACGCATGAATGGGCGTTGTGAGAAGTGCCTATATTCTTTCTCCCCGTTCGGGGCCGTTTGCGGCTGTTCTTTTCGGGTGCGCGTGAGGTCGTCTCTTCCTTTTTCGCCCGAAAACCATATAAATTCAGTAGTGGTCTCCAACAACTTATAGTCAACCACTCAATCTACCAGCAGCTGGCACTGCTGGGTTCCACGGCTAGACAGTAGGTTTTGTTTTTGCTGTTCTTTGCTCAGCAACGTCTACATGGAAAAGGAGCACATCCACGAATATGAGCACATGATCGATCATGGAGAAATCGAAAAAAGGGGAGACAAGTATATTATCAGCACGCGAATCATACGTAGTTGTGAGCAGGGACGGCCTATAGAGAGCATGCATGCGGTGATAACTGGTCGGGCGATCCACCGAAAACGCAGTGTGCACTTGTGCCGAGGAGTGCGTCACCATACCTACCTACCCGTCACGCAATTCAGATCACTCATCGAATCCCAGAAGAAACCAAGTAGAGACTAGAGACTCCCTGTTCCTCCGCAATCTACCAACTACAATCTCCGTAGACCCATGTCTCATATTCAACCATTTTGTATATGCTACGAGTATATCTAACATCTTACGTCGCCCTCGTAACTACGCCGCAGGTGGTGCCGCCGGGGTGGTGGAGTCTTCCTGCTGTCATCCACTCGACACCATCAAGACCCGAACTCAACTCACCAGCCTTTCACCGGCGATCGTGGCCAAGCGGCTGGTGAAGAACGAGGGTGTCTTCGCGCTGTAAGCTTGGCTCTCACGTCTCGAAGGCCTACTCTGGCAGCACTTGCTACGGGACTCTTGGGCGGCTCTATCTTTGTTCATCGTGGCGTATCTCACCCATTGTTTTTGCGCTGCAACAAACGAACAAACACGTTAAAACGTTTTTTTTTTTACAGGTATAGAGGACTCTCGGCGGTGATGGCTGGGATTGTGCCCAAGATGAGCGTCAGATTCAGCTCGTTTGAGTTATACAAAGGATGGCTTGGCGCAGCGGAAGGGCACAGCAAGGGTGAGACAACCAACAAACTCCTGCGGGAGGAAACATATGTGCCGTGGCAAGTGACGAATAAGGGCGGCCAATTATTCTTTCGCTACAAGCCGTGCAAAGATATCTCTGAGAGTTGATACCGCTGCACCACAGAATGAGAGGGATACGTCTTGTTGATCTCCTGCATACGGTAAGGGAGAGTGCTTTTTTGGCTTACCACGGTGCCTTGATAATGCACGGTGCCCTGACTTGATGGCACTGGGATGCGCAAGGAAACGAAGAACGAAAGCATTTATGTAGACTTCCGGGCTGGTACGGAAAATTCTCACTTCGGGGGTGAGGTTGCGTGTGCCGCGAGGTTTCTAAAGCAGTACCAATGATACACGCGGTACTTCAAGTTATAGCCATGCCTGCCGAATATGAAACGTTTGGTTAGCCGGGATGCCCAATCAACCCATGGCATATTTGGTTTGGCACACCAAACGCAAGGACGATGGCCAGCTTCTGATCCATCCTTGTGAAACGGCGCATGGGCCGGCGAAAACCCAATATATCGCCCCGTCCCGGCATTGTAGGGATACGAGGTCTATGGTCTAACAACTACGGCGCATGTACACTAGTAACCCCCCCACCCCCCCTCTCAAGGAAGCTGACATGGCAGTATCGCGTGTGCGGTATAGATAGTAGAGGTTGCCGAGAAAAGCTTGGGAGGCGGAGTGGGCAAACAAGAAGAGGGGTAGACAACCCACGGAGGTTGTAGGTGACGTATGGAAGGGGTTCGAAGTTGAAGAAGGCGATACTATGGATTCGGAGGGTCTAAAAGGGTTCAAAGAGAAGATACCTGTTGCTTTTGCCGAGAGAGAAGGAACAGAATCTAAGAAACGAAACCAAGGATAAGGAGGGCCTAGACGTGTACGAAATGTTGAAAGACAGAATAGGGTTCAACGGGAACCTACATGGACCAATGGATGGAGGGACAAAGCTGAAGGTCAAATTCAGGACCGGGGACATTGGCCTTCGAGAACGTAGGCGAAGATATAGGAAGGTAGACGATGAAATCGTCAAGTTCAAATGTGATCGCGGCTCCGAGTGCGAAGACCGTGTTCATGTAGTCGCGGAATGTCGGCTGTACAAGGAGAGGGAAGTGTACATGACTGAGCTGGGAAAAGTAGAAGGAACGTACGGGGACATGTTTGAGGCATGGGATATCCAGGAAAAGACGTTAGCTGTACTGGGGTACAGGAAGTGGGTTGAAAAGGCGGAAAGTGATATCGGTAGGATAGACAGACTAGGGAATACTTTTTTGGGCCACCTTTGACAAAGTAGGAAGGAACGATTGGCCATCGGTGATCGGTCCTGTGGGAACAATGCTCCGTCCTCTCGAGGACGCGTGGTCAATGGTCGAACCGCTAAAGCATGCAAAACATCAAGAGTACTAAGCCGTTTGGAACTGTCATCCGTTTGCGAGGAAGTAGGCATAAGATGCCGAACACCCTTAGCAGGATGCAGCGCACTCTCCATGCGACTCGCCGAATACCTCACGGTGCTTCGCGCTTGGTGATGTGAGAGCCTGCTCCAGTGAGAACACGGCGAGCTCCGTCTCGACTTCGTAAGAGATGCGAGCTCTATGGTCTAACAATTACGGCATGCGTTTTCACGAGTACCCCCCCCCCCCCAACCTTTGTCAGGGCTGGTGTTCTTGGCAGGTCTGGGATCGGGCGTTACGGAGGCCGTCATGGTGGTAACGCCTGCCGAGGTGTGCAAGATCCGCATGCAGTCGCAGTCCCTCCAGGTTATCGCGGATGGCTCCTCCGGGAAGTATCGGGACGTGCTGCAGACGGCTACGGTCGTGGTCAGGGAGGAAGGCGTACGGGCGCTGTACAAGGGGCTGGCTCCGACTGTACTGAGGCAGGGTTGCAACCAGGCGAGCTAAATAGACTGTTGCTGCGGTATCGCCCGGTCCGTTCACTTGTAGATCTGGTCTGGTCACGACGCGCGAGAATTAGGGACCACCTGTGACGTCCTTTCGACGGGAGATGTACCGTATGCAGGGGGTGGCGTTGTTGGGATGGACGAAAGCTAGAATATTCTCAACACCGAGGGCATTCCAATTGCGGTATATCACGTGCTGCGCCCGTCAGTTAAGTTGTTTGTTGTGTCGAACGCTGCAGTCTCCTCGTGTGCAACCTGCGTCGTCGGTGTTGTCCGTTCGTGTGTTCTGTTTCGTGAGCTGATAGACGCCTGAATGAAGATATACAAGACGCACAACTTGTGGAACTCGTATTAGCTGCCGTCAGATGTGATTTGTGTTGTGTTTTTCTTTCGTCAGCACTGAACGCGCCAACCGGCTGACCCTATACTGCTGTAGACGACATATGTCTTGCGAGGGAAAACATCGCGTTCAACATGTTATTGCCCGCGTGGTCCCCCCCCCAGACCGGGGTGTGTGTTTGTGTGTCTGACACACCTCGCCGTCGGCTCGCGCGTTATCAGGCCTACTACCGCCCACACTTCCTTCGCGCGCCTTAGAACCAGTCACAAGGCTTTCCACCTATCAGAATAGCCGCCATATGCGTTGTTCCACTCTCTCTCTCGTACTCAGCCGTGCGCTTCGCCCCTCCT